ACACTTTCTTTGGAGGTGCTGGAATGGATATTTAGAGTAACTCTAAATTTAGAAGTATTGATGAATGTTGGCTTTTTTAAAGCATACAAAAATTAAGTAACTAACTAGAGATACTTCTAAAGTTGATTTCAAAACAAAATTTTTAATATGAAGAAGTATCGATGAATGTTGTTTTTTTAAGCATATAAAAATTAAATTATAACTAGGTAGTCATTCAAAACAAATTTTAAAAAATAAAAAATTTCCAAAGATTCGAACCGAACCATACCGAACTGTTTCGATAATCCCAAATACCAAATCAAAAAAAATAAAAATATCCGAACCTAACCCTCCCAATATTTTGGAACATTGAGCGATGTTCACTGCATTCTTGTCCGTGGCAAGTACACTGGGCACTCCATCTTACTTGGCAGCTTGTGGTCTCTCCTTTGTTTCCAATCATGGGCGGCATTACTCACTATGGGATTGGGTCAGCTCCGGTTTTTTACGGGGCGGGTTATGTGCCTCTGGCAAAATGGTGGGGCTATGGATTCTTGATCTCTATTGTCAATCTTGTGATCTGGATTGGAGTTGGGGGTGTCTGGTGGAAGGCCATTGGCTTGTGGTAATTGGATGAGACTTGTGAGGCTGGGTTGCACATACAAATTTTTTCTTTTTCATTTTGGGTGTTTTTTGTTTTCTTCTGTTTCCATTTTGGGCAGGAAGAGTTGGCTTATATATATATTGTTGGAAAATTGTGAATGAAAGTTGCAACTGACATATTAATTTAAAACCGTGTTTTCATTTTTTAAAACTTGTAACTTGGTTTGATTAATGTTGCATTAACTTAACTATATTAAGTGTTGGAGTAAATACATGAGTTAATGAGTATGGCTTACCTAAGGCTATATAAAGGTCTTGTCATCTTTGGAAGAAAGTACTTACGAGAGTGAGATAACACCAAGAAAAGAAATAAAACCCACATAAAGGCTTTTTTCCCATTATTGTTTTAATTGTTTTGGTCCAGGCATGGTTCCAGTTCGCCGGATTAGTTTCGGTTCTTCCGTTGTATCCTGGGAAACAGACGCTCATACGGGGCGAATCTGTTTTAAGGACACTGTGTTCTCACAGACCTCGGTATTTTTATTTTAGCCATCTTATTTTCATTTTCCCGATACAGTTCCCTACAATCTTAAAACAGATTCTGATTAAAGATGGCTGCTGAACAAAATACTATTGGCGTTGCTAATACCGGTGGCGCTGCTACAATTACTATTTCTCCTTCTGTTAATGTCCCGGTAAATCATGCTGATAAACCGGAAAAATTTAATGGCTTGAATTTCAAGCGCTGGCAGCAAAAGATGTTGTTTTATCTTACTACGTTGAACCTTGCGAGGTTCTTGACGGAAAATCCTCCAAAGTTGGGGGAAAATCCGGATATTCAAGCTGTGAGTGCGCTTGATGCATGGAATCATTCAGATTTCTTGTGTAGAAATTATGTAATGAATTGCTTGGCCGATACGCTGTACAACGTGTACAGTTCTATCAAAACAGCGAAGGAGCTGTGGGAGTCTTTGGATAAAAAATACAAAACCGAAGACGCTTGAGCCAAGAAGTTTCTTGTAGGCCGATTTCTGGACTACAAGATGGTTGACTCGAAGACTGTAATTAGTCAAGTGCAAGAGCTTCAAATAATCTTGCATGACATCCATTCAAGGGAATGGTAGTGAATGAAACTTTCCAGGTGGCTGCCATAATTGCAAAGCTTCCACCGAGTTGGAAAGATTTTAAAAATTATTTATTACATAAGAAAAAAGAGATGACTGTTGAAGAGCTCGTTGTTAGACTTCGAATTGAAGAAGACAACAAGGGCTACGACAATAAATTGGTTAATCCTTCTTTTGCCAAGGTTAATCTTGTCGAGCACGGTGAAAGCTCACGTAAAAATAATAAGAAAAAATGTGGCAATACTGGCAAAGCAGTAATGGGGCCAAATAAACAAATTTTCAAGAAAAAATTTTCTGGAAATTGTTATAATTGTAATAAATCTGGCCATAAGGCATCTGATTGCAGGTTGCCAAAGAAAAATCAAGAAGCCCACATGGTGGAAAACCTGGCCAAAGATGTTGATGAGATGCACCTCGCAGCAGTTATATCCGAGGTAAATCTGGTGGGCTCAAATCCACATGAATGGTGGATTGACACGGGTGCTACCCGTCATGTTTGCTCAAACAAGGAACTGTTTAATGTCCTTGACGAGACGGTGGATGGAGAAAAGCTCTTCATGGGAAATTCTGCCACTTCTGACATCAAAGGAGTGGGAAAAGTGGTACTGAAGATGACATCTGCAAAAGAATTGACTCTTAATAATGTACTTTATGTACCAGAAATTCGTAAGAACTTAGTGTCTGGTTCTTTATTGATTAAACATGGTTTTCGTGTAGTGTTTGAATCTGATAAGGTCATTTTGACCAAAAATGGAGCATTTGTAGGGAAGGGTTATGAATGTAATGGGCTTTTTAAGCTCAATGTGATGACAATTAATAAAAATGTTAATCCTTCTGTTTATATGCTTGAGTCTTCCATTGTGTGGCATGGTAGACTGGGACATGTCAATTATAATACCCTGCGCAGGTTAATAAAATTGAAAAGCATACCTATGTTCCATATTGATTCAAAACATAAGTGTGAAACTTGTGTTGAAGCAAAATTGACACGATTACCATTTCAAACTATTGAAAGAAATAGTGAACCACTTGATTTAATTCACACTGATGTATGTGATTTAAAAGCTGTCACGACACGTGGTGGAAATAAATATTTCATTACTTTTGTAGATGATAGCACTAAATTTTGTTATGTGTATCTTCTCAAAAGTAAAGATGAAGCGATAGAGAAATTTATTCTCTATAAAAATGAAGTTGAAAATCAACTAAATAAAAAGATTAAGGTGATAAGAAGTGACAGAGGAGGTGAATATGAGTCACCTTTTGCTGAATTATGTGCCCAACATGGGATAAGACATGAAATGACAGCACCTTATTCACCGCAACAAAATGGGATTGCGGAAAGAAAAAATCGTACTTTAAAAGAAATGATGAACTCAATGTTGTTAAGTTCTGGACTTTCACAGAACATGTGGGGGGAAGCTGTATTGTCAGCAAATTACCTTTTAAATAAGGTTCCCCGTAAAAAGTTAGACAAAAGTCCATATGAATTATGGCATGGAAGACCACCATCCTACAAATACTTGCGAGTGTGGGGGTGTCTGGCAAAGGTAGCAATACCTACGCCAAAGAAAATAAAGATTGGACCAAAAACGGTTGATTGCATATTTATTGGATATGCACACAACAGTAGTGCTTATCGTTTTCTCGTACATGAATCCAAAATTGAGGAAATTCATAAGAACACGATACTTGAATCTAGAAATGCTTCATTTTTTGAGCATATATTTCCACGTAAGTCTGAAGTGGATTCTAGTTCCACTAAAAGAAATTTGGAAATAATGGAAAAAGATCAAGATGGATATACTGAGGTAGAACCTCGGAAAAGCAAAAGAGGCAGGATAGAAAAATCTTTTGGTCCAGATTTTCTAACCTATATGGTTGAAAGTGAACCACAAACGTTTTCAGAAGCAGTAAATTCTTCTGAAGGACCTCTTTGGAAAGAGGCAATCCAAAGTGAAATTGATTCCATTTTGCAAAATCATACATGGGAGCTAGTGGATCTTCCTCCTGGAAGTAAACCATTGGGCTATAGGTGGATTTTCAAAAGGAAAATGAAACCCGATGGAACAATTGATAAGTATAAAGCTAGACTTGTAATTAAAGGTTATAAGCAAAAAGAAGGCCTTGATTACTTTGATACATATTCTCCAGTAACGAGGATAACATCCATCAGGGTGATTATTGCAATTGCAGCTTTACGAAATCTTGAAATACATCAAATGGATGTAAAAACGGCTTTTCTAAATGGAGATTTAGAAGAAGAAATTTATATGGAGCAACCTAAAGGGTTCTCTGCTCCCGGGCAAGAGAATAAAGTTTAC